CAACGGCGATGCAAATGGCCAGGACCGAGTAAAATGAAAGCCGAGATGTGCGATGGGCGGATGAAACCACACTAACTGGACAGAGCATGCCACAGTTTCAGTTGGCGCAACTTAGTGGTTCCTCGTCTACTTCTACTTCGTGATACCTCAATCGATTGTGTAAAGACTCCTTCCCTCGTTTAGGTTTATTACCCTCTGCCTAAGGACAGCTGAAGGTGTGGTCCCCACATCAAGCTGAAGGGCGATCGCAAGAAAGTCCGACAATACCATATAAATTGGGTGGAGGAATATGTGCCGACGAGCATTAGTCCCAAGGCTCACAACCAGAGACCACAAAGATAAGGAACGATCTCGATGAAGTTAAAAACCTAACAAAAAAAAGTTAAGAGGAACAGGGATCACAAGTAGGGATCACAAGTAGGTTATCAGTGTCATGATCATTGACCAAGCTGGAGTGTCGGAGACCGACCAACAATTTGCAAATTACGAAGACGTCATTTTTTACAGATTGCCCGTGTGGTCTACGCCTTGTGGGACAATCGCCGAGTCAGCCAAATGATGTTCCAATCCCAGAATGGTGTCGCGACTCCATCCTGAGTGGAGACAACACCATGAGTGGAACCCTAGATAAGGATTGTATCCTGCTCTGGAGGCCCGAGTGGGGACCAGACCTAGAGGTAACTCGTGCACCTCGATGCTGCAGAGCACGAAACACAGCCTCGCGACTGCCTGCCAGAAGTTTCCGACTGTCCGGAGATGGGCTGGAGTAAGGGGACAACGACAACGACAATGACAACCTGTGGAGCAGATGGGGGCCGGGGGGGGGGGGGGGGGGGGACCTCTACCTCCAGCGTACCGCTGCAGCGCTGCTCCAGCAGTGTGTCGCGCAAGAAGCGAGCTACTCGAACTATGTGTCGGCCCTGGCCTGGCCCAGGTATTAGTAGCGCTGGGCCTTGTGGGTGTGCATGCGTGTGCCTCTGGTCCTGGCCTCAATACGGCCTGCCTGGGTCCCTACTGGACGTCCAGGCCCTCCCTGCTGATGCAGAAGGGGGCGTCCACTACCGGACGAAAGTGGACCTCGCCCAAAAGGGCCTGCTTGTGTCCGTAGCAGGGCCAAGACATGGCCGTTGTCCCAAATAAATAAAGAAATGAATGCTGCCGCAAGTCGAAACCTGCAGCCCTAATGCCGGCCGTGGGCCTCTAGGGCGCAGGTCTGAGGGGCGTGCAGCCTGGGGGCCCAGGCTCAGCTTGTAACACCAATAATACAGGAACGACAAAGAAAAAAGGAAGGGAAAAAGATAAAAAGGGACAAGAAAAGCCAAGAGGACTCTCAGACTCGGCGCGTACTGATACTGCCACTATCTTAAATACATCTGATCACAGTTACAGCCGAAACTGGATGCATCTGGCTGCAATCACGTCCACAAACAAGTAAAAAAGTCAATAGTGTGAGTATGCCCTCAGTAGTCACGAGCGTATGTGACGATGGTCATGTATCGCCACCAAACAGAAACCTAACGCGCCAAATGACCTTCTGCTCTGCAGGACTGGTATGAGCAAGGCAGAAACGGACCACGAAAATACAGGGGCAGAGGGGAGGGGGGGCACAACGAAAACGCGGGGCCCAACATATGGGACAACCCCCTCCTGGTCCCATATTTGCAGCAATCATGACCCTGACTGATTGCTGCTGTGCTGTTCCTACCAAAGACCTGTGGCTTCAAACTACAGAGGACACGTCCGAATCTTCGAGAATTGTGGTCATCAAGATAATTTGTCTTTTTCTTTGGCGAAAAGCTTAAATCGAAAAAAAAAAACAAAAAAAAAACGCATGATTAGGGACAGCCGTGTATAAGTGAAGTCCTACAGAGTGTGTTCCCTCCTCACAAGAATGGTCCCTCTCTTTTCTCTTTGGAATGCAAGACTACCCTGTACAGCACTTGATTGATTGTACATTACGGTTGGCCATTGGCCCCAGTGGCATAGTGCCAGTGGGTCCCATTGGCCCAGTGGCATAGTCCCGGTGGGTCCAAATGGCCCAGTGGGTACCAGCGGCATTTGTGTACAGCTGGTTCCGCGCAGCTCGTCCATGTAGTGCCACTCCTACCAGTCATACAAAGTGGGTCCCAACTACATGGCACAGGGAAGTGGGCACAGGGAACGAGATTCCCTTTCCGGGAGACTGTTAGCTACCAATGTGCAACATGCTCCCGGAAAGGGAATCTCGTTCCCGGTGCCAAGCGATAGACCCATGCCTCTACTGGCAGGGGCGGCCAGGCACAGCCCGGGAGACTGTCCGAGGCATGGATCCGAGGCATGGATTCCCTTTCCGGGAGACTGTTAGCTACCAATGTGCAACATCCTCCGGAAAGGGAATCTCGTTCCCTGTGCCAAGCAATAGACCCATGCCCTACTGGCAGGGGTGGCCAGGCACAGCCCGGGAGACTGTCCGAGGCATGGATCCGAGGGATGGATCTACTGGCAGGGGGGGGGGCAGGTAGAAGACCCATGACTCGGACAATTTCCCAGCCTGTTCGGGCATTACGAAAAGAAAAAAGAAAAAAGAAGAAGCATAAAAAAGCAATAAAAAACTCGACTTTTGATGGCTACCAACACGTGTAATAGAGCGTAATCCACACGGGCAGCCCCCCAGGGAGCAGATATCAACATAGTAACACAGTAAAAACATACCCATTTTCATTCTGTCACCGTGTCCCGTGCTAGTGATGTCGTAATGTGATGCTGCTGATGATGATAATGATATGATGAGCTTTGGTCGATGATGTGACAATCGCCTCCTCGAGTGCTTGAGTGCATTGGCCACGTCTGCATGCCTTTCCGCACCTGCACCAATCCTCTCTCTCTCTCTCTCTCTCTCTCTCTCTCTCTCTCTCTCTCTCTCTCTCTCTCTCTCTCTCTCTCT